GGGTGTGGAAATGCCAATGGTGATGGTCTCCTCTCTCTTCCCCCAACCCCCAGCAGTGTCACTCTTGCCTTAAAGTGTCATCCTCAGAAACCTATACAGGCCTGGGCAGCCCTAGCCGTGCAGCCCTGTGCCCTGGGTATGTCGATTTCACCGCCTCGGGGAAGGCAGTTTACAGAAATGAGCAAGTAAAATGCAGCCCTCGGGCTCACAGGAGTGGGGCTGGGCTGCTGCAGCTCCACCCCCAGGAGCAGTAATAACAGTAATTATTATAATATATATCCCCATAACTTACCCGGCTACCCAACATGCCATTTTTTCATTCCAGATTCCTTACTGAGCATCTTTTGATTCCCTTAAATGTGGCCTTCACCCACACTGCCCCTGCGTGTTTACCCTGCACACAAAGTGCCTCCCACATCACAGGAGAGCTCCCCCCACGCGGCTCCTGTACCCGGCCCCGCCCAGCCCCGCGGGGCACTCCCTGCTGCCCACCCCTGTCCCAGCTGGAAAATCTGATGAGATTGATGAAGGTGCCTGGCATTCACGCACAGACGCCATGGGGCAGCGATGGCCTGGCGCGCCCATTCACGGATGGCCCCATAAGTCACAGCTTTGTCCCATCGGGGGCCCCGACTGTCCCAAATTCAAGGCTGTAGCCAGGAAGCGGGCGTCCGCCCACAGTGCCCAGACATCCTGGCTCTATGAGCTGGGGTCCAGCAAGGGCATTAAAGCTGCCTTTGTACCTGACCGCTGAGGCTGGGAGCGGGTACGGACAGGGGAAGGGGGGGAGGTCTGCATCTGCCAAGACAATATATTTGGGGAACTCCAGTTACGTGAAGGTGACCTCACTTTTTCCCTTCACAAAATTGCCTCCACATGTCCCAGGCCTGGCAGGAGGCCAGTCGCACACTGCATCACAAGGCAGCAGGGATGGGTACTTGGCTGAAAGAAGGCTGGGAAATGTCCCCTCAACTCAGGCTTCAGCCCTGAACCCATCCCAGTGGCGCCCCAGGCTTGGGCACTGGGACAGTCCCTTGAGGGACTGGCGGGATCCTGTTGAGTTGAGCCACGGGGTTTGAGAAAACTCAGTCCCTGGTTTGAAAGGCTCACGGACAAAGGCCGGGGCCAGTCACCTTCCACGTCACATTTTACATACAAGGGAGTTACAGATCCAGGGTGCTGGGTCAGCGGGGCAAGAGGATATGGCACTTTACAGTTTGCAACCAGAGTGCCATCCAGTTGGAATGGCGGAGAGGAGGAGGAAGCGAGAGTGAGTCCGGGAGGATGTGACGGTGGCGAGGGATTCTGCAAGGATGTGGAGCAGCCGTGCTAAGATGCTGAGCCAGGGCAGCACTCCTCCCTGCTCCTGTAGCCTGGCCCAAGTAGGGCTCCCACAGCAGCTCAGCCCTGAGGCCGACTTATGTGAAACTTCCTGGTGGCCAAGTGTGATGAGGTTGGGCTCCCTGCCTCTCCCACCCTGTTACCCCTCCTTGGTGCCTTCCCACCTTCAGAAGTACTCACAGAGACTGCTAGGCTCTGAGCTGGGACGGGAAGGGTGGCCACAGGCATTTGGGATTAGGACACGCTTGGGGCGTGGATGGACGGCTTTTCCTCTGAGCAGTGGAGATGGCTCTTGGTGGGACCCGTGTAGGAAGCATGCCACAGGTATAGGGTCTGCGAGTAGGGTGGCCAGGAGGTGGTATACGAGTTAACGGGGAAGAATAACGTGGGCAGAGGAGCCGCATCGACAGACCTCCACCTCCCCTGCGCCAGGACTGCCCATAGCGCGCCACGAGAACTCTCATCTCATCTCCCGGCTGTCTGCGAGCTCTTGAGTCAATTCTTCTGAGCAACACAGAAATGGCATGGCTTGGAAACATAAAGAACTAGGCCAAACTAACCCAGCCAGCAAAGGAAGGACAGAGCCTGAGCCTGAGTCTGATGTCAATATGGTATTTTGACTCATCTACTGTCTTCTTTTAGACGTAGGTTAGGAAGAATATCTCCCGAGACCCCGATGATGGGCTCCTCAGGCTCCATGAAAGAACTTTGGGGGAAGGGTCTGCTATTTCCCACACCTATTCATTAAGGAGAACCAAGGAATGTATGATTCAAATTCCCTGGGGTCGTCTCAACTCCTCATTTCTGCTCCAAGCTCTGATGACACAAACTGGTATTTTGAAGATGTCTTTGGAATTGAATTGGGAGATTCGTATGACTTCAGTGAACACAGTAGAGGCAGGAACATTCCAGTGGGGAGGAAAAGCCTGAGCCAGGACCTGGACCTAGATGGGGCTCCTAGTCTAGCTGGGGGAGGGTCTGGTCCTCGGTCATCTGCTGAGGTCAGTATGTATCAAAGCTGGGTATGGCTCTACCTAGATAGGGAGGAGCAGGGCCTGCTGGGGTCTTGCAGGATGCATAGGAGCTTGCAAGGCACAGCAGGAATAAGAATAAGAGGGGACAAGAGGGACATTCATTTGCTAACTTCCTGCTCACTGTCCATTTCCCCATTAAGCTACCACCACCCACACCCCACCTTCAGAGCAGAGGCAGGTTGTCCCTTCATAAGTGTTCTCTTAGGGCCTGGCAAGTGCCTGACCCACAGCAGGTGCTCAATAAGCATCTGGGGAGGAGAAAACAGGGAAGAATTTCCAGAATAGTGATCGTTTGGGGGCGGAGAGTATGAAGCAGAAAACTAGTCATGAATAGTATAAGATTAGGCGCTGGCTGGGAAAACCATGGATCCAAACTAAGAATGAGCCCATCCCACACTTCCCCAGGGGCCGTCTCTGCCCTCAGCATCACCTGAGCTGGGCAGGCTGGAGTGACGCGTTCTTTTCAGGGATCATCCCTGCCCTGTCCGCTGGAGGCTGAGCCCAAATCCTGGCCCCACTCCACCGCCAGGCCTGGGTATACAGACGCTAGCACGACAGAGCTATCTCCTGGGACGGACCCTAGGCCTGGCGACAGTGCTCAGCTGGGACGCTGGCCGCAACCTCCTCTGTCTTCTCTATTTCCTGGGATGAGTTTTTTTTAAACCCAAAGCAATGCCAGCAGGAGATGACTGTGTGGCCTGGCAGCAGAGCCCAGGGTCAGAACTGCCAGCTCCACCTCCTAACCTTCCTCCTCCGCACACTTCCTCTGTGGTGTCAGCAGCTCCCAGGGCCTTTAGCTCCTGCCTCAGTTTCCTTCTTCAGGGAGAAAGGAGACCCTCTTCCCCCCCGACACAAAGGTCTGCCCCAGAGGCCTGGTCTAGGGGCCCAAGCCCATCAGTTTCAGGTCAGGATGAGTGCACCGGGACAAAGAGAAACCCCAGACTCTTTCCCTGCCCGAGCTAGCTGGGACCTCAAGGCGACTCAGTGCATGCCCGTCGCAGGAAGATTGAACATGAGTCATTTCCTGTGCTACCAGCTCCGGAAGCAGAGTGGGCCTGCTCGGGTTCCCAGAAACACAGCGGCCAGGGTGGGTGCAGACGGACCGCTGGGGAAACAGATGAGTAAATGCCCTCCCCCAAAATAGCCTGGACTGGACAGAGGCACAGGGACCAGAGGCCAAGCCCTGAAATAGCTGGCCCTGGGGCAGCCAGGGGTGATGTCACCTGAACAGCAGCCAGCAGAGCCACCATGAGAGCCAAGGGCAGGTGGTGGCACAATTTGTGGTGAAGGGGGAGGGTGTGGCTACTGCATCAACTGTCCCTGTGCTGGTGTTCCAGGCCCAGAGGAATTTTGGGAGCCAGCCTGGGAAATGGCAGACATCTGGGGCCTCATAGATTCTGAAATGCCTGGGACAGACTCAGTCTCTGTCCTCAGGGAGCTTCCAGAATGTCATGGAGACAGGCCTTAAAGAAATGGTCACATGAAAAAGTGCATAATCATAAACTGAACCAAGTCCTATGAAGAAAGCAGGCACAGCACTACAGAGAAAAGGATGGGAAGTGGGATGTGTCAGATACCCAAGCCAAGGATGTGACATTTAAGTGGAAACCAAAATGAGAAGCAGGAGCTAACAGTGATGACACTGAGGGGAGCAGAGGGTTCCTAGCAGAGGGGGAGGCACATGAAAAGACCCCGGAGCAGCCAAGCTCCAGGTGGGTTCCAGGAACCAGAAGAAGATGGCATCACTCTGGCCCCTCCCTGTGGATCACATTGGAGGACTCAGGCTTGATTCAGAAAAACAAACCCACTGCGGGTTTTAGCCAGAGATAAGCACCATCAGCTCTGTGGACAGCAGGGCCAGGAACCCAGCAAGGGGACTCCCACAGCATTTCAAGCCAAAGAATCCAGAGGCTCAGACTGGGGGTGGCCAAGGAGGTGGAAGGAGCCAGATGCACTGGGGAGGACCCGGCCACAGGGCCAAGGGTGATGCCCGATGTCCTGTCCCAGCCCAGCCGTGGGGCCTGAGGTGCGGTATCCTGAGAAGGAGACACTACTCCTTCTAAAACAGCTTGGTAGAAGTGTGGTTCCTTTACTCTGGAGACAGGTGGAAGCAGGAGAGGACAGTACCCTGACAAAGCAAGAGAAAGCTGGGCGCCAAAGGCAGTGATTGATCCGTTATAAAGTCAGTGCCTTTGGGGTCTATAAACATGTAAACCCCCCGCCACACACTTTACAAAATGTCAACACCCAGTGCAGTTGAGTAAGAGTAGCGTGTCCGTGGGCTGCTGGTCTGGAGGCAGCGTTAAGTCAAACAGAACAACCACGTGCAGGAGCCTGGCAAGCTCTGCCCGTGCGTGCGGGAAACGGGCAGCAGTAAACCAACCGCAGCTGCTGCTGGCACCTGCTGGCACCGGCTCTTCTCTCAAACTGTGCTTTTAATACTTTGATATGATCTTTTAAATGAAATGTATTACGTATCTGGATTAAAACATCAGAAATTTATCACTCAGAAAGAAGTGTTTTCAGACCAGAGCTTGTCAGTGACCTGGTGCTATGCAGGGTGTGTTGTCTTCAAACCAGAGTGGAAAGAGGCGCTATTTTCCAAATACAGTAAGCAATACTCACATCTACTTCTCCTTGATCGATTACATAGAAATTGTCTCCTTCATTGCCTATAACAAAAGAAAAAAGACAGTGATCTATAAAGCAAAGCATGTCAAAACTCATGAGTTACAGTGTTTTTGTTTTTCTTGCAAATAGCTTTTTGCAACATTGTGTTATAGACCATTGCCAAGCAACACCCTGAGTCCCACCAATTTTTTTTTTTTAAATAATGAGAATGTTACAGAAACATTGGGTTAAACATACTGTTCTTAAGTTTCATTGTTGAATTTTCTCAAGGATAGACAATGAGTTTTATTTTAATATATATTTTTCAAGTGCATAGTCCTTTTTTCCCCTGTTGGATTTCCTCAGAGAAGATAGAACATACCTTGCTGTATAACTGTCTCCCCAGCAATGTGAGTGACAGG